AGAATACAACTAGATTTCTTGTTTTTGATCTAGTTTGAATTCCAGAATTCATGGGAGAAATGAGATTATCAAGAGGATGTGATGAACTATGCTTCCATCCTGACTTTGCAGCAGACTGATTTGGCAGATCAGCATGATCTTCTTCATCAAGAGTGACATCATCTTATGGGGAGTCTGATGTACTCTGGCTGGAGTTTTGAGTAGTACCAGGTACCATATCATCCTGTTCAACCTCAGCATCCTCTTCAGGTAGACTATGATTCTGATCATCACAATCATTTTTCAGTTGTTGATCTGTATCAGCTTCAGCTCCTTCAATCTTCTTGGATTTGAGCATTTTCAGCTCATCATTTGATCCATCATTCTTCAAGCTTCCATTTTCATCAAAGACAACATGAATGCTTTCTTCAATGCATTATGTTCGTTTGTTGAATATTCCGTAGGCTTTGCTGGATGAAGAATATCCAACAAATACTCCTTCATCACTTCTGGGATATAATTTTCCCAAATCATCCTTCCCATTATTCAGCACAAAACATCTTCATCCAAATGCTCTAAGATAGCTCAGCATTGGCTTTCTGTTGTTGAGCAGTTCGTATGGAGTCTTATTCAACACAACTCTTATTAGACACCTGTTGGTAACATGACATGCTGTGTTAACAACTTCAGCCCAGAAACTTTGAGGAAAATTTGATTCAATAATCATAGTTCTGGCAATGTTCACCAAGGTTTTGTTCTTTCTTTCCACTACTCCATTTTGTTGAGGAGTTCTTGGAGCAGAGAAATTGTGGCTTGTACCATTTTCCATACAAAATCTATCTAGTGTTGAGTTTTCAAACTCTGTGCCATGATCAGATCGAATGCTGCAAATAACTTGATTCAATTTGGTTTGAATCATTTTGAAGAATACCACCAACTCTTCAGCTGTATCTGCCTTTGATCTCAAAAATCTCATCCAGGTGTATCTTGAATAGTCATCAACAATCACCAAAATGTACTTCTTGCCATTTCTGCTTTGAACCTTCAAGGGTCCACACATGTCCATATGAAGCAGCTCTAAGGTTCTTGATGATGTTACCTGATTCTTGGGCTTAAAAGATGACTTGATTTGCTTTCCTTTAACACAAGCTTCACATAATTTATTTTCGGCAAACTTCAGCTTGGGCGGACCTCGGACCAAGTCCTTAGAAATCAACTTGTTCAATAAAGATGAACTCACATGCCCTAGCCTACGATTCCAGAGATCAGCATTCTGATTTTGAGCACTAAGACATGTTAGGTCAACTCCATGAGACGTTTCTAAGTTTGCCACATACATATTTTTACTTCTGTGTGCAGTGAGAATTACTTTGTTTGTAGTTAGACTCAGCACAGTGCATTTCTCAGAAGTAAACTTGACGTCATTTCCTTTATCACAGATTTGTGACACACTGAGCAAGCTGTACTTCAACCCATCCACATGGTAAACATTGTCAATTGAATCTTCAAGAGATCTTCCTACTTTGCCAACTCCCAAAATGTACCCCTTCTTGCCATCACCAAATGAGACACCTCCTCCTTGGAAGGTCTTGAGTGAGAGGAAGTTCTTTACATCACCAGTCATATGCTTAGAGCAACCACTATCCATATACCAGCATTTACTGCTGCTCCTCTCACTCACCTGCACCAAAAATCACTTGTTAAGCTTGGGAACCCATTTCAGCTTGAGTTCCCAGTAGGCAGACAAAGGAGTGATTAGATTGTATTTGGTCCAATATGGTAGATTTTGAAGCTTTCTAAAAAAGGACACAGGGGCAGGTACAGATTTTTTCTTTGAAAATCTGTGAGTTGAAACATGCTTTGGAGGACCAGGTCTCTCTATTGGTGCATTATGCCTTTCAGCATAGTTAAAGAACCTTTCACAGGAGTTTCTCCAGCTGTCACAATCATTCTTCAAATGCCCATTTTTACCACAATGGAGACATTGCAGATTGTCAGACACAAACACATACTTACTGTGAGGATTATAAGGAGGACTTATGTTCAGGCTTCCTAGTCCTTTCTTATTAAAGTTACTCTGATTTGTTGCATTTGACAGTAACTTTGAGGATTTGGTCCACTTAAGAGATTTTTCAAGTTCTTCCTTAAGTTTCACAATATCCTGTTCTAATTTGTTATTCTTTTCAAGTGACAGACTAAGATTTGTCTCAGATTTTTTCAATTTTTCTTGAATTTCAGCTTGTAGACTATTTGATCTTCCATTCAGCTTTTCAGCTTCTTCAGTAATCTAATTCAACTGGTTCTTAAGTTCACAGTTATTTGACTCTAGAGACATCATTCTTGACATTTTCTCTTCAAGTTTAACTTTGTTTTCAGTTAAACTTTCAAGTTCAGCATTCATGGTGTCTCTTTCAGATGTTAACTCTATTACAGAATCAAGCATGACTTTTGCCAAAGTTCTCAATTTTTTAAGAGAATATTTATCCAAGTCATTTTTCATATCTAGAAGAGTTACCTGATTTTCCTCTTCTTCATTTTCTGTGTGAGCCATGAGAGCAAACATTTCATTGAAGACAGTTTCCTCCTCATGCACAGCAACCATGGACACATCTTTTGGCTCATCAGGATCTTCTGAATCACTTGAATAATCCCCCTAAGCAGCAAGAGCCCTTTTTACAACCATATCAGCAGCAGCTTTACGATCTCTGTTACCAGGTATCAGGTCCCTTCTATTTTCTTTGTCACTCCTGTGTTTTTGATGTTGCTTGTTTTCATTCTTGAGCAAAGGACACTCTCTGATGAAGTGCCCAGATTTTCCACACTTGTAGCAAGTATTCCCTTGAGCAGCATTTCGAGTACCGTTTGTTCCTCTTTTATAAATTTTGTTTTTCTTCACAATTTTTTGAAATCTACAATGAGATATGTCATATCATCATCATCACTTGAATCTTCATCTGATTTATACTTCAGCATCAATGACTTGTCCTTCTTGGCTTCCTTTTTTGACAAATCATAGTTTCGATTCATCTCATGTGTTTTCAGATTTCCAATCAAAGCATCCATAGTCAACACCTTCAAGTCCTTGGCTTCTGTAATGGCATCAACTTTGCTCTCCCAAGACTTTGGAAGAATTTGAAGCACTTTTCTGACTTGTTTGGTCATGCTTATAGGTTCACCCAGACTTCGCAGCTCATTTGTAATAGAAGAAAACTTGGTAAACATGTCATGTATTGTTTCTCCTTCCTTCATTTTAAAGTTCTCATATCGTGAAGTAAGCATGTCAATCTTAGATTCTTTGACTTGCTCAGTTCCTTCATGTGCAGTCTTTAAGCAATCCCAAATTTCTTTAGCAGACTCACAGGCTGACACTCTCTTGTACTCATCAAGTCCTATCCCACAGACAAGAAGAGTTTTAGCTTTGAAACCTTTTTCAATCTTTTTCCTGTCAGCTTCATCGTATTTCTGCCTAGGCTTTGGAACAGTAATGGTCTTCTGTCCATCCTTTTCTTCCATCATCGGAACAAATGGTCCATCCAGTACAATATCCCATGACTCGCTGTCTTCAACCATGAGGTAGTCATGCATTCTAACTTTCCACCAACTGTAGAAATGTCCATTGAAACGAGGAGGTCTGTGTGATGACTGACCTTCTTCGAGGTTAAGTGGAGCTGCCATTCTAAAGTAAGTATCACTTCCTTGGTGTTAACCAAATAGAAAGTGCCTGCTCTGATACCACTTGATAGAATATGAGCCTTCACTTAACAAGTAATGGACCAGGTCCCTTACTTCACTTCAGAAAAATACCAGAAAGTTAAATGCAGTAAAATCAACACAATGATTTTACGTGGAAACCTCCTTGCTTAAGGGAGTAAAACCACGACCTTTCTCACAGGATTTTCAATCGTTTTCACTAGTCTTCAAAAGCAAAAGTAAAACACGATTACACCAAACGTAAGAAAGAGTTATCAATCTTAGCGTTAAGCAATAGTCCTCTATTGCTTAACAAGCCTAAGTAGAAAACAATCTACCCACTAAGCTATCCCACCTGGACAGCCTAGACTTTTAACACAACACACCAATTCCTTTATAGATTCAGGAATGGTTTACAGTTTAAGAACAAGAGAATGCATTCCTAAACAACTAAATGAAAAGCTCCAGATATTGTTGTTGTTCTTGGAATAATTCTTCCTTTGCTTTGTAGTAGCCTTTGCAAGAGTTCTTGAAAAGTTTTTATCAAGTTGCAAAAACTAGCAAAAATGTTTAGGAAAGTGCCTTTTATATGAGCAAGTCACTTTCCCAAACTTCTTTGCCATTGGCTGGAAAAGTCACACTTTCTGACGCCATCGGGAAGTGTGCACCTACTTTCTGTACCGTCTCCAGCTCGCAATCAACTGGCTCCTCATCATGAGAGTCTGGTACCTCTACTAGGTCCCTGAGTTTGTTTTATCTAAAATACTCAAGCAAGAACCCTGCAACCGACAATTAAGAAACTGGTACCTTTACAAGGTCCCCAGGTTTGTCAAATCATCAAAATTACAAATAACAGTATTGTTATTGCAAGTCATGTTTTAATATCAAAATAAAATCTTTAAAATCTTTGATGTTATTACTTAAATAACATTTTAGCCTTTAATGGTGATTCCTAGTTACAATTTTATAACACATCCAATTAGCTTCCATAAATGGATAGAGTTTAATAGGAAGTCATTACTAAGAGTTACATATTAAGGATTGAACATGACCCACAATAACAAATTAACTTCAACATGTCATGTTATTATGAAATATGTTTATTTTAATTTTAATATTTTAAAGAAATATAGTATATTTTTAAAACCATTTACATAATAATTTATTTTAATGAAATATTTCATTAATTCTGCTATATATAAATGACATTGTTGTTAAAAATAAAAATTAAACAATAAGAGAAAACTTGAACAGTATTTGGCAAAAAAATGTCATTATAAACACCCCTCGGACCTCAGGTATTTAAAACTAAGGAGAATATTATAGTTGTTGAGGTGAGCAACAGCTACATGTCACTCCCAGCTGTGTTGGCCCTTTACGTGTTTAATCCAAATTCAAACACCAAAACTTGAATAAGCAGCACATCACTCACATATTTTTTTTATTCTGTCGTATATCCATTTCTCCCTTGCCCTCCCAAATTATAGAAGAATGGCTATCTCTAATTTTATTGTAAAGCCATTTCCTCCTTTATTTCACATCCAAACCAATAATTATCGATATGATTACCATACCAAGAAACTGGCCCTGAAGTCTAACATCGTATGTCTAAAAACAAACAATATTAGTACTACTTCTCCACTTTTTGACCAATCTAGACCTAGTCTATTCAAAGATAAAGATTACAAGCTCTCCTGGCAGGAAGAAGTTAAAAGAGCATACCCTTTAGAGATTTCTAATCAAAACTTGAATGATGATGAAAAATTGCAAGAATTGGTTGACAAGAGGTGTATAGATAATTTTAGAATGTTGATAGTAGACTCAGTGCAACATGCAAAGGCAGGGCATGCTGGAATGGCTCTTGGGATGGCTGAGGTTGCATATTTCTTGTATAGACACGCCATGAGGTATAGTTTAACAAGTCCGAAGTGGTTTAACAGAGATAGGTTTGTTTTGAGTGCTGGACATGGATGCCTTCTTCAGTATGTTTGCCTTCATCTTGCTTCTTTCCGATCTGTTCAGGTATATATAATTTATTTATGTTTTCTCAATATTTCTCTGAAACAAGAAAAATTTCTAATCATATAACCAGGGCTCTCTTCAGCCAAAAATTATATATTGTTTATATGTGATTAAAATTATTATTTCTTTTTATACATAGCATATGTTGAATCCCCTAGCTTCTTCGTGGGTTTATTTTTTCATATTTTAAACTACTAACTCAAAAATCTTATCCGCCACGGTTAGTTATAACAAGTGATTTCATGAATATTATCTCCTGGTAAACCCAAACATTGAATTGTATCACTTGCCATGTGAGTACATGGCTGGTCTACCTAAATTGTGATAATGTAAAGTAATTGCGCCCAACTCAAATAGGACACGAAATTTTAAGATAACGACCACCTTAAAAAACCAACAAAATAACAAATAAGCTAAGTACAAATCTATAGAAATAGAATAGCAAATAAACGAAACCCGTAATTCAACGCAGGAACAGGGCACCCTGTGACATTTCAGATCATTTCCTTAAATATAAGGCTTAATTTAGATCCTTAATACTCAAGAAATAATAGTGTTGATGTGAGGTTTACCTTCGCTACAACAAATATAACTTTTAACGGCAATAAATATGCATATCAAACAAAGAGTGCTTAAAATCGGCATTAGTTAATTCTCATTGGATCCAATGTCGAGATCGGCTTTAGGGACATTTACACAGAGTGCTTAAATGTAATTTTCACAAGTAATTGTCTCTCAAAAAAATATATAGCCGAAATTAAACTATTATCGTTAATTAATTGCCTCTAAAGATCACTTTTTATTTAATGCTTTCTCTTTTCTCTATTGTTGTCAGCTGATAAAATAGACGTTAGGGGAAACAGAGAGACGTTTCTGCATATCTTTTTATTTTCCTTATATAGATTGACGGTTCGATGGTAATTATCACTTGAATTCGAGTGTTCTGCTTTGTACATGTAAACAGTTACCATCAAAATTTTAAGTGAATTATTGAGTCTTTCAGATTGAAGACCTTAAATGCTTATGTAAGCTTGGAAGCCGGACACCTGGGCATCCAGAGAATGTAGTGGCACAGGGCATCGAAGTCACAACCGGTATAACTAAATGCCAATTCGCTTTCGTCGTTTTTATGTCCCGGTCACATGATGACATGTTGGAGCTATATTTTCAATTTGGTATAATCTCATGATCATAATTTTATCTCGCTGGTAAAAATTTCTCTTATATATGTGAAAAGATGGTCGAAAAAGCCCTTTGCAGGAACTCATATTGAAAATGTCCTCGTTAACTGTGGCTAGTGCTGACAAAATATATCAAAATTTTAAGTATCCACCCAAAAGCCGCCCTCCAGTAACAAGCAGATGGGCAACTGATTTTTAAATATGGGTAACATTTAGCCTTCAAGAAAATGTGTAAATGGTGGATTCACCAGACAACTTCTATGCTTACTAATTTAAATCGAAGATCCTTCATGTCTTTGCTTAAATACAGTCTTTTACAACTGTATGATCTTAACTTCAATCAATCGTAAAAGTTGTAGATGCCAACTAACTAGGTGATATGTAAAATGAAGTGCATGATATCTGTTTTATTTTGTGCTAATATCCTTGGTTTTGTATAAAGGTAATCTCTTTTATCGCCAGCTGTATATTTCATTATCATTGATAATTACAGGAGTACTTCTAATTCTAAATTTTTTGTATGAATATAATATCACTAAACTAAAAACCTCTTGGATAACAAGGAACATTTGTTGAAAGTTTTATAAAGAGTCTTACGTAACTTGATATGAATTGTGTTGGATTTTATATTGTAGGATACGACAATATTATTGTTTTCTCAGCAAATCATGATCAGCATGGTATATTGAATTCCCAATTTTGTGTTACACTACAGGCCCTTTGGGACAAGGTGTTGCGAATGCAGTTGGCCTTGCTTTAGCAGAAGCTAACTTAAATGCAAGATATAATAAGCCTGATGTTGCTGTTGTTGATCACAGAACGTAAATAGGCTGACTTATCCTCTTTATTTTGTGGATGAACCAAACAGCATTTCACTCGGATATATTTTCTTCAGGTATTGCATCATGGGTGATGGCTGTTCTATGGAAGGCATATCAAATGAGGCTGCATCCCTAGCTGCGCATTGGAAGCTGCACAAGCTTACATTGATATATGACGATAACCATAATACTATCGATGGTAGCACTGACCTTGCACTTTCAGAAGACACATCGGCACGATTTGAAGCTCTAGGATGGAACACTATCACTATAGATAACTCTCAAGGAAATTTAGACGCGTTCAAGAATGCATTGATCTCTGCACACTGTGAGACCAGAAAACCAACTTTTATCCGGGTATGCAGACTCAGTATGGCGCCTAGAACACAGTAGATATGTCATACTGAGTTTATTTTATAAGTTTTAGACTACCTTCCAAGTTTCCAACAATTCCTGGTGCGGTAGTGCACTGCCTACTGAACTTTCTATTTTCAGGTGAAAACGATAATAGGGAAATTGTCAAAAAAGGAAGGGACATCAAAGGCTCACCATGGAACCTTTGATGATGACGATGTAAAGCAAATGAAACAGAAAGTTAAATGGGAAGATAGAGAACCTTTCCACGTCATTCCTATGGTTTACAGGTAATAACTTTTATGCACCTTACAAGACGAGGAAGATTATGTTGTAAGATAATAGGTGCATTTTTTAATGTCATAAACATAAATATGCCCCTTAACTTGACTTCAAATTGCATTTATGCTCTTCAACTTTGGGTCTGCACAAATAAACACTTAAACTTGTATAAACTTGAACAAATAGACACACAGGTCCTACATGTCATTTTTTGTCCTACGTGGTGTCTTACGTGTATTGTGCCATGTAGGACTCATGTGTTTATTTATTTAAAAGTTTGATAGTTAAAGTACATGTTTGTGCATTATGAAAGTTGGAGGTCAAAGTTAAAATTTGAAGCCACGTTTAGGGTTCAATATATGTATTATACCTTTTTTAATTTATCAGGGAAATGCAAGCACAAACAAATCTAGGTGGAAGGTTGGAGCAAGAGTGGCACTCTAAACTTAATTATTACCAAAATAAATACCCTGAGGAAGCCGCAGAATTCAAGCTTCTTCTTCCTGATGGGATGATTCCTGGCTGGGAAAGCTCATTACCGGTAAAATCGCATCCATCTAGTTTCATACCTGTTAGAAATTAATTCATCTGAAATATGGTGTGATTGCATTCTCAAAGAAGACAAATACATTTTCTATTAAGAAGGAACTATATACCTGCAGGTCAACTTGTATATTAATGAAATCAGGATATGGGAGCCGTCAAACTCTTCCGTGTCATGGCCTAAGGGCCCGTTTAGATGGGCTTAATAAAAGTAGCTTTAAAAAAGTACTTTTGAAAGTGCTGAAACTTATTTTTAAAATAAGTAGTTATGCGTTTGGATAAAAGTGCTGAAGTTAAAAAAAAAAAGTTGTTGATGTGTTGGGCAAATAAGTGCTGATAAACAGCTTTTTAAATCAAAATGTCTGAAATATCCTTAAAAGCTGTTAACATAATAAAAGTTGATTAATTTATATTTTACAGCCATAAATAATTATATTTTGCTATCATTCATATATTTCTTTCTCATCACAAATTATTTATAAGAGGAATATAAACTTATTATAGATTTTAAAGATATATAATTTGAATAGATTAAAGAACGATTTAAGATTTTATTTTAGTTTCATTCATAGGTAATAACAATTGTCTATCATTCACATATTTCTTTATTATCACAAATTATTTATAAGAGGAATATAAATTTTTATTTAAGTTATATGTGCAACTTATTTTACATTTTAATAATATATAATTTGAATAGATCACTTGAAAGATTTAAGATTTATTTTATTTTCATTCATTAGTAATAGTAATTGTTTATCATCCACACGTGAAAAGGAAAAAAATAGAAGAAAGAGATGTTAGGGTTATGTTGGTAATTTGGAGATTGTATAAAAATATTAAGGGCAAAAAGATAAAAATGTGGTCAGCTTAAAAAAGTTTATAAGCTGGAAAAAGAAAAACACCCCTACCCCATCTTTTAACTTTTGGCTTAAAATAATTTTTTTTAAACTTAAAATAAGTTATTTTGAGTATTGTCAAACAGCTAAATAAGTCAAAAACCAGTTTTTAAGTTAGTTTGACCAGTTTTTAAGCTGAGCCAAACAGGCTCTTAGTGATCCATTGTTCCGAGTAATTTCACGAACTTGGACCCAAATTATATGGGGTGTGTTAAATATTTGTAGCCCTTGAACATCAGATGTTTGTGATTGTCGTTTAAAACGTATGTTACGACATATAAGGTTCACCATCCATAGTTATTTACTCTTCTTGATCAGCCAGAATATTTTATCTAACATTTGAGTACATTATCAACATCAGAAATGCTCAATGTCTGATCCAGTGGATTCAACTAGAGGATATTCAGGGAAGTGCTTGAATGCACTCGCTAAAGTTCTTCCAGGACTAATTGGGGGTAGTGCAGACCTTGCCAGCTCAAATCAAGCCTATCTCCATAATTTGGGAGACTTCAAGCAGCCCGATTCCCCGTGGGGGCAAAATATTAGGTATGGAGTCCGGGAACATGCAATGGGTGGAATTTCCAATGGACTTGCGTTGCACGGTGGAGGGCTGATACCATTTGCAGCAACTTTCCTTGTTTTCTCAGATTACATGAAGAACTCTGTCAGATTGTCTGCTCTTAGCCATGCTGGAGTTATCTACATTTTGACCCACGACTCGGTCGGAATAGGTGAGGATGGACCAACCCATCAACCAATTGAACACCTTGCTGGTCTTAGAGCGATTCCCCACTTGCTGCTCTTCCGACCTGCTGATGGCAAAGAGACAGCTGGAGCCTATAAGGTGGCCATTGAAAACCGAAGTGTACCTAGCCTTGTTGCATTATCGAGGCAAAAGGTGGCAGCGAATGTGGAAGGAACATTGGCTGATGCAGTAGGGAAAGGCGGTTATATTGTTAGTGACAACTCTGAGAAGGAGCTGCCGGAGATCATATTGATTGGCACTGGATCAGAGCTGTGTTTGTGCGAAGCCAGCGCAAACGTGCTTAGAAAAGAAGGGACGAGAGTAAGAGTGGTTTCACTTGTGTGTTGGAGACTTTTCGATAGGCAGCCAAGGGATTACAAGGAGTGTGTGTTACCATCAAGTGTATCGAAACGTGTTAGCGTGGAGGCAGGGTCACCCTTAGGGTGGAAGGAGTATGTCGGAGATGAAGGCATTGTGATGGGGATCGATGACTTTGGTTCTAGCGGACCATATTCAGAAGTATTCAACAAGTATGGTTTTACAGAGGAAAATGTGACCAAAACTGCAAAATCTTTGCTTACCAAGAGAAGCTCTATTACCACACAAACATATTACATATATATAGAGATAGGCATAAGTCATTCCCCTTTTTCTTCTATTTTATGAGTTAATTGTAATGAATGACTCAATCAATAGTCATTACTCTTTCAATTCTCCCACTGGTGGATCAACAAAAGCTTAGAGGCTTTTTAACATCTCAAACTTACAACATTGCTCACATTTTTGCAGTTCATAATAATTTCTACACAGCATCAAAATCGAATGCCAAAGTTTTTTTTTTAAAATGTCTCTATAGAAAGGAAAAAAATAAAAAGAATGTCAGTAATTATGAGGCTGAAAGCTAATGGGAAGTCCTTGAAGAGGGGTAGGCATTAAATCATATATAAAATTTTCATTTGGAATAAGTAATTTCCAAGTAAATTTCCTGATTAAGAGGTGCACAAAGACGAGCACCTCGAGGCGAGTAAACTCTTTTCCTAGACACATTCGAGGTCAACCCCCAGATGTAATATATGTATATGGGGCAGGTCCATCTTCTTCAAATCTTGATGGTACCAACCTCCATGAATTGGGGAAAATTTCTGGATCCAAACTTGTTAAACCAGTATTCCAGTGAAGCTGTTCCAACATAAATGAGTTAAAGTAACTATTCTTTATGAATATAGTTGGAAAGGTAATGCTGCAACTTGGCAAGTGTTGTATGAAATTAAAGCATGATATTCATAGATAGAGTAAATGTACCTACCTTCCACCCTTTAGGGATATCATAACCTTCATAATTTATATCCACAATTGCTTCTCGATAAGCCCCCAATATAGGTGGTGTAATTCTCATAACTTCACATATGACATTCCAAGAATACTTCATCTTCTGAATATCATCCCAATTTTAAAATTCCCCTTCTTTCTTTGATGATACTATCTCAATATGCTCTGCTTTGTCACCAAATAATTAATAAAAGATGGACAATACATATTAATATGTTATTTAATTTGGATTCAGTTGACATTTATGTCTTTCAACTTAAGGTGTGTACAAGTAAGCACTTAGACTTGCATAAAGTTAAATAACTAAACTAATGCTTCAACTTAAGGTGTGTACAAGTAAGCACTTAGACTTGCATAAAGTTAAATAACTAACACATGCATCCTACATGACATAATTCACATAGGACACCACATATGACGTTAATTGTCATTAAGGATGTATGTATCTACTTATTCAAAACTCAAAATTGGAGAACATATATAATAAATGAGGCCAAATTAAATAGTATATTTATATATTATGCCTTATAAAAAGTAAATATGACTAGATTAAAGCATGTTGTGATCTTAATTAAAGGGTCAACCGTTAAGATCAAAATAATCAAGTTTCACACATATCATAATTCAGAGTAGAAAAATATGTATAAAAGAGAATAATTTAGCATACTGACCTTGCAGAATGTTTTGATAAACTTGAGGGTGCTCAGACATATACTTTCCATTTTCATCAGGAAATGACAACAAATGAGACAAAATGTCTTGTGAAGGTGAAGCTGTTTTTTGTTCCAAGGCTTCTCTTCTTTTCCTGACTTGTAATAATTATTTCCTAATAACATCTGTAGCTCTTATTGCCTTATAAAATGTTGTACCAGGTAAATTTAGAGGGATGGCATAGAGTCCTTTCAAGAAAATGTTGAACTGTAAAAAAAGCTTTTCAACATCATTATGGTCTTCAATGCTCATGAATAATTGACATGCCACTTTGAAACTGCAAAATTTGACCAATGAAAACACCTTCACCTTATCATTACCTAAACAAATATTGACCAGTACAGAAAAAAGGTTAAATACAACAATGAGTAGAAGTTATTGTTGAGATTTAGCAAGAGTGAATAGAAAAAGAAAAGAGAGAATATGAAAAGTGAGTGAACTACTTTAGAAGGAAAATAAAAAGTCATTTGCAAAGTGTAAATGAAAAGTCATTTCTCTCATATCGGCAAAAGAAAGGGAAATTGTTGTCCTTATAGAAGGAAACACTTCCATTACTTCTTAAAGAGCTAAGAAGAAGATGCCCCCTCGCGCCGTCATCGTCATCGCTCGCTCGGCTTTGGCTTTGGCAAATGATTTGATTGATAAATTTTTTGGACAAAATTTATTTAATCAGTTTTTGTTAAATCAAATAAATCTTGTTAAAATTATCTCTTATAAATTTGCAGATAACGGTAACATTCCGTAAAGTTGTTACTCTTTTCGAAAAGTCGTTACTTTCCAAAAAGTCATTATTTTCCTAACAGACACAATTTTCCAAAAAGTTATTATTTCTTTCCAAAAGATACAACTTTCTGGATAAAATGGGTCTGAACAGATTTCACTGAACAAACATGTTCTTTGCTGATAATGGCTATAAAAGGAAGCCAATTTTTGATTTTTTAAACTACTGAATTTTTTTTTCTCTGCATTTATTTTTCTCTCAAATAAAATCAAAGTGTCGATCGACTAAGTCTGTGTGGCTTGTTGCTGTGCTTAAGTTCATTGAAGTTAAAGAAGTTTGAGGTACCGTGATTTCTTTAACAGGTTTAATCCGTTTTATCTTGGGAGAAATTAATCCATAACCTTGGGTACAATGAGGGGATTAAATTTCTTAAGCACAGTAGTTTCTGTGGACTCGGATTAATTCTTGTATTTTATATTTTTTTTGCTTCATCTTATTTCTGTTTTTGTTTATTAACCTTATAAATACAGGTTATTGTAAGAATAACAATCTTAAGAAATTTAACAGTTTCTGTATTTGAGGTTTCTAGAGATTAAAACCTTTATGGTTTTCTACTCTTCTTGAATTTTTAAAATTCATTCGATTAACGATTAAAAGAACATAAAAACTTTATCATTAAATCAGAAACAGTTTGTGTAAAGATTTGTTCTTTACTGTTAGTATTTCAAATATTTAACTTATCTGTCATTTGTGACAAAAAAAAGACTAATTCAAGTCAAACAAATGCTGGAACAGTAAGTGGTGCAACAACACCGGTTACACATAATCGTTCAAATGCTGCCTTAGCGCCGACTGAGAAACCTGCAAAGTTTTCTGGAGTCGACTTTAAGAGATGGCAACAAAAGATGTTCTTCTATCTCACCACATTGAGTCTGCAGAAGTTCATTAATGAGAATGTTCCTGTTATGTCAGATGAAACTCTAGCTGATGAACGATTCTTGGTAACAGAAGCATGGACACACTCAGATTTTTTGTGTAAAAATTATATTTTGAGTTGTCTGCAAGATGATCTGTACAATATGTACACTAATGCCAAAACCTCAAAAGAACTCTGGGATGCTTTAGAAAAGAAGTACAAAACAGAAGATGCCAGAATGAAGAAATTCATTGTGGCAAAATTTCTGGACTATAAGATGATAGACAGTAAGACTATCGTCACCCAAGTTCAAGAATTGCAAGTCATAATCCATGATCTCCTTGCTGAAGGTATAAATTTATTTAATGCCTATGTTAGAAATATTAAGTTTTCCCTTAATACTCACATAACCTTTAATGTAGGATTGATTGGGAATGATGCTTTTCAAGTGGCTGCAATTATTAAAAAGTTACCTCCATTGTGGAAGGACTTTAAAAACTACTTGAAACACAAACGCAAGGAGATGATTGTTGAAGATCTCATAGTAAGATTGAGAATCGAAGAGGATAATAAGGCTGCAGAAAAGAGGTCACGTGGTAATTCAGCAATATCTGGAGTAATATTGTTGAAGAAGATCCCACAAAATTAAAGAAAAGAAAGAAACCATATGATCCAAAAAGCAATCCTCCTAAGAAGAAATTCAATGGAAACTGCTTTAATTGTGGTAAACATGGTCATAGGGCTAATGAATGCCGGGGTCCTAAGAAAGACAAGAAAAAGAAGGATCAAGCAAACTTGGCTGAATCCAAAGGAGAAATGGACGATCTCTGTGTAATGCTTTCAGAATGTAACTTGGTTGGAAATCCAAGAGAATGGTGGATAGATTCTGGTGCCTCACGCCATGTTTGTGCCAACAACGAATTATTTTCGCAATATACTCCAACACTTACAGATGAAAAATTATTTATGGCAAACTCCGCTATGGCAAAGGTGGAAGGAACTGGCAAAGTCCTATTAAAGATGACATCAGGCAAGGTGGTGACTTTGAAAAGGGTATCATATGTTCCAGAATTGAAAAAAAAATTAGTTTCAATCCCAGTTCTGACCAAGATGGATTTAAATGTGTATTTGTTTCTGATAAAGTAGTAGTAAGCAAAAATGATATGTTTGTAGGAAAAGCTACCTTAGTGATGACATTTTCAAACTCAATGCAATTGCAGTTGATATGAATAAAGATTTTGTTTCTTCTTACTTGCTTGAGTCTAAATGTTTATGGCATGAACGTTTGGGATATGTTAATAACAAAACCTTACGAAAACTGATTAACTTAAATATTTTGCCAAAATTTGAGTGCAATAAATCAAAATGTGAAATTTGTGTTGAATCTAAGTATGCTAAGCATTCTTATAAATCTATTGAAAGGAATTCAAATCCTTTATAATTGATTCACACTGATATTTGTGATATGAAGTCAACACCATCACGTGGTGGGAAAAAGTATTTCATAACTTTTATTGACGATTACACTAGATATTGTTATGTCTATTTGCTAAATAGTAAGGATGAAACAATAGATGCATTTAGGCAATATAAAACTCAAGTTGAAAATCAGTTAGATAAAAAGATTAAAATGATCATAAGTGATAGAGGTGGAGAATATGAATCTCCATTTGCAGAAATATGTTTAGAAAATGAAATAATCCATCAAACTACTGCTCCCTACACTCCTCAGTCTAATGGAATTGCAGAAAGAAAAAATCGAACTTTAAAAGAAATGATGAATGCATTACTTATAAGTTCAGGTTTACCAAAGAACTTGTGGGGAGAAGCTATCCTTACAGCAAATCAGATACTTAACAGAGTGTCTCACTCAAAGACAAATGTAATTCCATATGAGAAATGGAGAGGTAGAAAACCCAATTTGAAATATTTCAAAGTGTGGGGGTGTCTAGCCAAAGTCCAAGTTCCTATACCTAAGTGGATTGTGTATTCATTAGATATGCCACAAATAGTAAGGCATGTCGATTTTTGGTTCATAAGTCCGAACATCCGGATATTCATAATAATACGGTAATGGAATCAGAT